TTGTATAAAGCAATACGGCATGGTGGTTATTTTTCTAAATAAATCTAAAATTCCTTGGGAAAGTTTGAGTTCTGTGTCTTAAAAGATACCCCAGATAGAATTTGCTAGCATACCCTCAGGTATATAACACGGGCAATTTTTGTAAATAATTTTGAAAATTCGTGCAAAACGTTGAACTTCACGGTCTAATCAGCAGTTCCCAAATGATCTCCGCAAGCATCTAGTTTAGTTCGACGGTGCCTACTTGAAAGCCCATATTTTTCTCGCTTTTTTAATTTCGAAAGTTGCAAGCTACTTTGCAATACCTCCCCAACCTTCTTCCCATTATCTTCTCCGTTCCAAACCCCCTCCGAATGCCCGCAAAAATCATTCGACGCGCCCCCCGCCTCCCCCTTGCCTTCCAAAGATAAAAGATTTTTCATCACTTTAGCCCTGAAACTCGGTGCTTCTCGTCTCCGTGTTGGGGGACTCGGGTCTGCGTGACTCCATATCAAAGGCGACGTGCCGGGCTTATCAGAAAGGCCAAAGTCAAAAATTCGGGCCCTCACTGTCAGCCATTCGAGGGGTGGAGGGGAGGCATTGGTTGACACGTCGCTCGGTCACGCATTTCGTTCGATGGTCCGTCTTTTGCAGAATGGGATAGATTTTTTGGGTAATTCTTAAATTTTGTGTGTTTTATTAGGGACATTCTTGGCTGCAGTATGTAGTTTACTGTAGCTCTCTCTCGCTTTCTCTCTCTCGCTGTATCTCTCTCTGTCTCTCTGTTTCTTGCGGTCTTTACATACCTGAACTAAAAGGGTCCTATCTGAATCCAAATTATCTCGATCTCGCTCTCTCTAGCTCTTACTTTATCTCCCTAACTCTCGCTCTCGCTCTCTCAGCCCGAACCAAAGTCCATTTTTTAATCCACGTCGTGCAACCAATTCCACTCAAATTCATTACCCCAGAATGGCCACACTATTCCCCTGTTGTCCAATTTGCCTTCTGCCAGTTGTTTGTTTGTGTCCAAATTCTCTCTCTGTCCAATACATCCCAGTAGTGCACCCACGATGAACAGACCAAAAAGCAACAAGAACAGTGGGCGTGTCCCCTTCCGTGCAAAAGCTTTAGGGCCCCCTCCCCTATGCCCCCCCACCCAGCAGCCTCAGCTAGAGCTTTGGCCTTTGGGCCCTCTACTTCCGTGTCCTCCGCCCTCCACCTCCTCCTCCTTTGGGCCCCTAGTCGGGCCCCCCTAGGGGACCAACGGACACTTCAGCTAGCTAGGGGAGGGGCCTCGCATTTTTTAGCTTCTTGGCCGCGGCCCGGAAATAGCCTCGGTGGGCCCAGGGGCGGAAGCTAGCTTGCCCGTTTGTTCCCCCGGGTTGCACCCAGATTTTGCAAAATTTTCCGGGGGGCTCGCTTTTGGGATTCTATTGTCCTGTGGAGTGGGTTTTCGTTTGGTGCTCAGGTGGGGTTGAAAGGCTGGCGTTTTTTCCGGATTTTTAGGTGTTTTCTGTGTTTTGGGTGTTGCTTTAAAGTTTATCTAAAGTATTAACTCTCTAAAAAACTAAGCAGTTACTTGGGGCAATCTAACAGAGATCATTGGCGATCAGGTATTTTCGCGCCAATTTTGGTTACATTTCAATCTCGCGCTCTCTCTCGCGCGCTCTCTCTCTCTCTCTCACTCTCTCTACTTCTCGAACCCATCCAATCCCAGCTCAAAATTTGCTTTCCACGAAAAATAATATTTTGGTGCTTCATAGCAGCTGAACCCTTTTGCAAACGACCACCCTGTTTTTCTGGGGCTCAAGCCCTAAAAAGCCCCGGGCTATTTCTGTTCTCATTTTGCTCTCGATATTCACCCATTCGTCAATTAACCGGATTTAAGGTGCGGGGGATGCCCCTGTGAACTACAGAAGCCCGTTTTGCGGGCAATTTTGGCCGAATATTTCTCTATCTCTGGCGGCTCCACCATTCGTCAACCCATTCCGATTTTTGGGGGGTTAGCAAGGATCCTGTTGATCGCTCAAAAGCCAAAGACAAAACGTTGGGCAGCAAAGTCCAACGGCATACGGTAGCCCTTCCTAGTTACCGTATGCCCACGGTACCACCCGTCGCCCCGTTGGTTACCGTAATCCCCACCCCGCGATTTTTTGGTCCCATTCTTTCGGAGCCATTTGGTTTTTTTCATGTTTTCCTCGCACAGTTTTTCCGCGCGGAATTAAAATTGTTTTTGAGGTTGCGATAGGTCAAATTGCTGTTCGTTCGTAAAGTGCAGGGACGTAGGTAGCGAGAGAGAGAGAGAGAGAGAGAGAGACTCCGGGGTACGGTAATGACAAAAATTGCTGAAAATCCCCTCCCCGAGGCTTGACTAGGCCACGCCCTCTTTTGCTGGATCCAAGATATGCCCTCGGGGTGGAGAGGCTGAAAAGTGCATTTATAGAAAGGGGGGCGTGGCGGGTAGGTTCCGGAGGGGTATGTTAGTTCAAATGTTTTGGGCCATGTTTGAACAGTTCTGGGGTGAGGGCCAAATTTTGGTGGTGGCCACTTCATTTGGCTTTGAATGTCGATGCCCTCGGGCTTCGAATTTCGTCCTTAGATGGAATTGTAGAACAAAATTCGACGTCTGCTAGCAGTACACCATTACCGTAACCTAAATTTTTTTTGGAACCCGTAAGATCTCAAAAAAGGTTCATTTTGCCCGGAATTCTGCTTCATAAAGCTAGTGTTGCCCATGTTTTGACCCCCTCTATTTGCACAGTCCAATATCCATGTCAGCTTCGATTTCACCAGTCGAGGGCTTTCCCGAGTTCGGATCGTCTGACTCTTCAAAAATAGCCGATCGTCGATCGGTCGGTTGGTGGTTTTGTGGGTGGAGAGGGGCCAGATGATGGGACACAATGGCAAATATTGGACTGCGAGAATGTCTCTCTCTCGCTCTCTCTCTCTCTCTCTCCCTCTCTCTCTTTCTCAATCGTGTGTACGTGTGCTTCATCTTCGCTCCTTCCCACTCAGTCTCACAATTTTCCGATCCTGCTGATGGGCCCGAGCCAACTTTTCCGAAAATAACATTTGTGAATTCTGTTGATTCTCAGCTAGATTTTCTCGTGCCCCACTTTCCATTCGACGTTACGGTCATCATACTTGAATGTAATTATCGAAATTTTCCAGAAATGGATCACCACATTCTCCTAATGACCCCCTCGGTCTCGCAATCATCCACCGACCTGTGCGTCGTCTGCGGCGACAAGGCCATCGGCAAGCATTACGGTGCCGTGGCGTGCAACGGCTGCAAAGGTGTGTATTTTGTTCTGTTTTTTGCCGTCGTAGTCAAGGGTTACGGTAGTCCCAGGCTGATTATGTAAGGTAGGAAACGGAAAACTTGTTTTCCACCAATTTTCCACGCATTTTTGCATCAAATCTAAGCAGAGCCCGGAAAACGTTAGCTACCGTATCCTTCAGGGTGTTTGCACCTCAATTGTTTTCCACTCAATTTTCTCACATTTTTATGTATAACTAAGACTAGCTAAGATACCGTAGGCTACCGTAACCCGCAGGGTGCTCAAAACCCGATCAATTCTTGAACCGGATAACGAAAAACACTAGATCGGGGGATCGGGATACCAAATGATCAACGACCATCCCCCAACCGTAGCTTTTGCCCTCTCGCTTGTTCCCCCCAATTATTTGCGCTTTTTCAGGATTCTTCCGACGATCGTGAGTTCTTCTCTTGTCGTCTTCGGTGTCTTCATCAACGGGGGGGACACGCTAGAGAGCGTGCCCGAGACAAACAGACAAACATCACAGCGCTTGTCTGCACCGCTAAGGGACTAGTGATCGTATTTTGGATTGGCGCGTAGCGTACAAGCACCCGCGCTACCGGCTTGTTCATGATGGGGTTGTTTGTCGGTGGTCGGAAGATCGAAGAAAGAAATTTATTTTTTTGGGCTAAATTAACCTAGTTCTCCGCTAGGCCATTGTACACCTCGAGCAGGTTGAGCAGCACCTGGTTGCCAGGGGTTTCATTGGAATGAGAAACTCGGGCGGCCCTTAGTCAAAGCTCTAGAGAGGACGAGAGAAGGGGTGGGCTGTGGGTAGAAGAACCAAAGGCCATCCACAAATATTGTCTCATATGACACACACCGAAACGAGCAAAGCTGGGGGTTGGGGGAGAAGCCGAAGGAAAAGGGGAAGAAGATGAGGTATCCACATGTGGTTCGCGTGTTCCCCTATCAAAAGTCTGGTCGACCAAATCACGGGGGATCGGCTGGACGTTAAGCATATTTTACGGGGAAAATTAAGGTTTCGATGCCTTCGGTCTAAGAAAAACTAATAGTTTAACGTGGCTTCATTAAACTGGTTTACGCTATCAACCACTTTTTATTTTTTCGCGTCTCAACCCTTTTCAAGTCCAAAAGTTCAAGCTGATTTTTGGAGGAGCAAAATTTCGGTCTTCCCTAACGAACCCCCACATCCTCATCGTCGATCTTTGAGATCCCGCAAGGCTTTTGGGTGGGTGGGTCGGGCATTTTTCGTGTATCTCCCTGGTCCGGGTCCTAGCGAACACTCGATAGACACCACACGAGAGACCGAGAGACCCGAAAGCTTGGGGCCCAGGAATAAAGAGAGACACAAGCCCCAAGTGGTCAGAGTTCGACGACCAAGATAAAGATGAACTCACCCGGGTTTAATCGGGTTTAATAATGGAAAAACCATCAAAATCTAGCGCTTTTCAGCGTTTGGCAAAACCTACAGTACACCTGTCGTTTCAACAAGCAATGCAACATCGACAAGGACCATCGGAATGCATGTCGATATTGCCGCTTTCAGAAGTGCTTGGCTGACGGGATGAAGCCGGAAGGTAAGTAAGCTTGGTTTTGGCTTCGCAGTTTCTCCGAACACGTTCCAAATTTTGCTTTTTAGCCATTCAAAATGAGCGTGATCGGATCGGGTCCACCAAGCGGAGGAAGCGCTCGTTGGGTGAGACCAACTCGGATTCGGAAGGCACTCCCTCCCCCAAAATGGATATGGCCTCAGCCTCGGCTTCTCGTCGCTTCATCGAGGCGTTGATGGACATTGAGAATCGGTTGATTGGTAAGAGGATCTTGACCTGGTTTTAACAACTTTTTTTCTAGGCAACCAGTCGATGGATGCCCTCCTCCACGACAACCTTGGAAAGCCAAAAACTAGCCGCCAGTTCATCGTCAACAGCGTCATCCAGTGGTCGAACATGTTGCATCCACTTTCTGAGATTGACCTAGCTGATAAGGTAGGATATAAGTTAAACGTGCCCTTCGGTATCGATTTATATGATAGATATTTTGGTATAATCGGTCTTAACCCCACGCTTTCAGGTAGCACTCCTCAAGGAAACCGCCGGCCCTTTTTCACTTCTCCAAACGATCCAACGCAGCATTGCCGTCCCACACCTCGTGCTCCCCAATGACCAGATCCTCAGCGTTTCCCCGCTCCACCCCGCCGATCTGCTCCAGGCTTTGACCAAGATTTTGGACGAGGTTTTGTCGCCGCTTCGACGACTTCACATCGAGCAGGCCGAGTTCTGCTGTCTTAAGGTGAGCGTTAAGCTTCCTGGGTTGCGTAACAGAATTGTGAATATTCTAATTTTTGAATCATCCAGGTACAATAAAAAATATGGTTCAGGAATCGCAGCAATCAACAATTATATATGTTTTTAATAGCCAGATCCATCTCACCTTTGATGAATTTTACCCAAAAAGCACGTAGCTCGACTCTAATAGTTCATCATCAAGCCCCATTCTAAAAGGCACGTCGTCAGTTGTGCCCCCGTAATTTTGGCATTCTGGCATTGACAAGTGTGCCACGTGCCATTTCCCATTTCATCATTTTAGGACTCGGCACACACACACACACACAAACCACGCTAATGAAAAAATGGGGGCTCTTTGGCCTATGCGGTTGTGAGATAATTATTCAAAGGAATGAGGAAGTAGAGTCTTTGGGTTGGGTGTTCATGGTTATCGTAACCCGGGAAGTTTCTGGATTGAAACCTTTCGAGATCGAAAAACCTGATTATGTGGATTTCCTTAGTCATTTATGCGCATTACCTTAGAAATGCCGACTCAAATTTTTCGTTGGCTATTTATGGTTAAGGTAATCTCAGAATTTTCGGTTTTTGGATTATGGACTTCATGGCGGTCGAAAAACAAGGTTCCATGGATTTCCTGAGTCATTTCGTGCCCTTTCAAATGTCCGGAAAATTCCCACGAGCTTCTTCTGCATACTGGCCACTCCAAGAAACACCACTACCCCAGGGGGCGCACGATCCCAAGCCAATTAGCCTACGTGCCGCGCGTGGGCAGCAGCTATACACGACGCTGCACTGGGGGCGATTTGCAGAATAGAGTCAAAAGTTCAGCGGTGGAGTAGCCGGTGTATATCGTTTGGTGCGGGGCCACTGGCGCGCGGCAATTTAATCAGCTTCTTGTGTGGTGTGGTGCGGGTCGGTCGGGTGCTTAAGAATACCAATTGGATCGGGGAGGTCGAGAGAGGGAGGCGGAGGTGTACGTGCTGGTGTGAGTGACCAAGGTATTACTAGCGGCGGGGGGGAGGGAGGGGATAGAAGAGCTGAGGTACGGTACTTGGGTGGCAACACAAGAGCTTGGTTAAGCGCTACCGAGATCACCATAATATTGGTTGTCTCAGGGAAAGGTAGGCTAGCAGAGATCGTTTCAGGCCTCCCAAAAATATTTAAGGACAAATTTTCTGCTTTAAACAAGAGTTAAATGAGTTCAATAACCCCTGTGTATCAAAATAAAAAACTAAAGCAAGTTTTCTATCTGAAAACTGAAAACGACTAAAAAAGTTTGGATACAATTTGGTATTTTAAACCAAACTAAACATGTTTTTTCAGGCCCTCATGCTCCTCAACCCTGATGTCAGCGGCATCTCCCTCGAGACAAAATCCCGACTCCGCGAGGGTCGCGATACCGTAGTCCGAACCCTGTTCACCTACCTCAGCCAGACGCAGTCCCCCGTTGATGCCAACCTCAGGTATGTTTATAACTTAAATGACCCCCGGCGGCCACAAAATTATTACTTTTTCACGCTTAAAATTATCCCCATTGCTTTTCTGCCGCCACATCATTGAACGATCGCTAGGTTCGTGGCATTTACCGGCGAGCCCGACTCCGCTGGAATCCAATTTACACCTCCCCCTTCCGAATATGGCTGGAAATGCACGTAACCCTAGTGGTGTAGCAGGGTTTGCGGGTCAAGTCTCAAATTATAAAAGTAGTATGTGCTACGAAATGGATATAATCCCATATATCCGTTACAGTAGTCAAGTTCGGACCGTAGAAACATCTGAGCGGATTAGTGGGTCTGGGGTTAAATCTAAAAAGATCTATTAGCTTTTTCTGAGGGGTTTCAGGGTCAATGGATTTACGGGAGAAAAATATGGAGATTATGGTTTTCAATTCAATTCAATAATTCATCAATTTTAATCGCTAATTGCTTATTTTTATTTTCCGTTTCTACAGCTATTTTCTAGTTTTACTAAAGTATTTACCCATTTTGAACCCCACGGGAAACAGCCCGTTTTTCGGCAAACGCAAAATGAGCTGGCCAACATGGGTTTGGCCCCGTTGGGTTATTGGCCATTGGTCTCTGAACGGCTCGCCAAGCTTCGGGAATTTCACGAAAAATCCTCGACTTTCCAAGCGCTTTCCAAACCTCAAAAACTTATTACAAGCCCAAAACAACACCCAAAAAGTCCTGGCGCCCCATATAATTTGGGGTGCTTTGCAGCACTTGATTAAGGGGTATTTTCGTGGCATGGAAGGGGAGCGAACGTGCAGCCAGCAATTGTCATTTGAAATTATGGGATTAGAGGCCAAGGAAAGTACAATTATCGCGGGCGGTCCCGGGTTCATTATTTTCGTACCGAATCGGAGGCAAGGGGGTTTTGGGCATTGTTCGAATTGAAAGCGCTAAATTGGGCAGATGCTAGTGAGTACAAAAAAGTGCACCGAGATTCATAAAGTAACTATTTATAGCGAACAAAAGGAAAAACTGCCAATTATACCAGTAAGCTATTAATAACGATAATTTCAGAATCTCCTCCCTGCTGATGGTGATCCCCTCCATTCAAGTGGTCACCAACCTCCTCGTCGAAAAGCCCCATATCGGCTCGATCTTCGGACTCTGCGATGGCGATGGAAGAAACGAGAATTCCCCACCGATCTCGCTCGCCACCCCGATCTGCTTGAGTCCCGAGGCGCCGGTGTACGAGCAGAAGCCCGAGCTGTTTCTCAAGGACAATATTCTGGCTAACTTCATGGTCCAGTCGACGCTGGCCGATTTGCAGAAGGGACTTCAGAATCCGCTTTTTTCGATCGCTGGTCTTCCGCCGAGCCAAGCCGGTGGATTGGCGTTGCCGTTCGGATTGTTCAACCATGGACTATCGGTTAGTTTTTAAAGGTACTTACCACAAAGTTTACATCTTAAACTACCAAGAAATAGCTACTTTTTGCCCTCACAAGCCCTTTAGAGCCCTGCCGGCCTGTCTGCCTTTTTTGTCCTCTTGAAAGCCTGAGCACAAAAACCTCCGCTTGCAGCTGCACATTTTTTCTTGAACGCTGCGCGTTGAATATTCTAGGGCTGTCAGAAAACACCTGCAGACACCCCCTCTGCTTTTCTAGGGTTCAGCGGACCTATAAATTTCTCCAAGGTCGGGGGCATAACATTTTCAAATCCACCATGATTAAGAACAGTACCAAGGTTCAACAGCACTAATCCGATTAGAAACCGTGTTTGTATTATGGCCAGGCGGCTGGTAACAATGCTGAAAACAGAAAGATTTGACCTTGTAAAGGCCTCGTAAAAACATTCTAATATTTTTAATTTTCAGCTGATCCCCTCTACCACGCTGCCAATGAAGCCATTCGCCACTCAACCCGATCTCTTCAAAGTTTAATAAGAAAGCGATACCTTTTGAGGCCAATTTATCGGTCCTTTTTCTCAGATATACTCCCATTTGTTGTCTGTGATATATCAAATCCCAGTTTTTGCTACAACCGCTCGATATGACCCGATTTTTGATACTCTCTGCTGTTTTTTGTGTTTAAGTTTGTTTTTCGACTCTTCTAGTCGTTTTTGCTATTTTTTACTTTGGAAATCTATAAACCAAAACCCATCTTGCAACCACCCGAGCTTTACCCTATTTTTGACTTGTTTGTATAGAATTTGTGCCGATAAGTGTCGTCTAGCAAATGTGAAACAAGGATAAATTTATTAAATCAACCAGCTTTTATGGAAATCACAAGAATTTACGGAACAACACAACACGAAAACTCCGGAAATCCGGAAATTAAAACTTTATTCTTTGCGCCAAATCATAGCCAATCGCGAACGTGTATACCATGGCTTCGATATGCAAATTCTTTTCGTTGGCTTTCATAAAATCGAGAATTTTGTCGCATTCGACAAGAAGCACTTCGATTGCCTGAAAATCGAGATATTTTAAAGAGATAAGGACAGCATAAGCAAATCGAATACGCGCGGGAAAGAAAATGTCTCTGCGCCTTTCCGCTGGGCGCCCTCTCTTGCCGCTGCATCTGTTCAACCACATTACTGCACTCGAGCTTGTATATGATAACACTCGTTTGACTGTGGTCCATAGCGTAATGGGTTAGCCGCCAAATTTTCCCCCTTCCAGGCCCTTTAAAGCGCACGTTCGGAGGGCCGTGACCGTCCCAACGTACACCCTTGGACGGGGACCGCGCGCGCCTGCCCGTGCTGTGACAAGCCATTCCCTCCTTTGCGGCGGGGCGCCCTCACCCCTCACCAGGTTGTAGCTGTGGCTGACTGGTAGCCATCCGTGCCTCCCGAGCGGGAGGCCCGGTTCGACCCCGGCCGCGGCAGAAATCTTTGCTTTTTCCAAACAGACGTCCCTGAACGTGCCCTTTAATTTAAATTTCGCCTTTCTCCTGTCCTTTTTAATCTAAGTTCGAATTTTTTAGAACGTCCGAACTTTTCGCGCGCATCACTAACCCCTATATTTTTTCAACGGCTCCATAATCCGAAAGTGCCTGGGGGATCAGTTTTTTCCAGCCGTTCCGATTCACGGCCATAAAAAGGGCTTCGGTGACCCAGCAAGGATTAGATTGCAAATCGCGAGTGAACGGGCAAAAATATGTGAAACCCCGGGGATTTTTTTCAAACCGCTTATCCATGGCAAATGTTTTGCATGCCCGCAAAGATACCCAAAAACGCAGCAACGAGGCCAAGGAGGGCGTTGATGAAAAACAATTTTGCACCCCTTGGTTTAAGCCGATTTCGGGGACGGGCGCACAGCGAGCAGGCTTAGGTAAATATTTTTGCACTTTTGGAGATGTGGAGAACGGTGGGTGATTTCTGGAGCGAAGGAAATGTGCCTGAAGTATCGCCCACCTCTTCGGATTGCAGATTTTGGGATGGGTTGGTGTTGCGCGGGTCGGTGCCATCAATTTCGACGGTGACGAACTGGACGGAGTCGTCGCTGAGGCCCGGGTCGAGACCTTGAATGCCCGAGGAACTGAAAAACGGGTGTTTCTCGTCATTTTTGCTGAAGAAAATGCTGAAATACCGTGGAAAAGAACAGACCCACGCGACCACAAGCAGACTGTAGACTTTGACTTGACTACCCCTTTAAAAGGACTACCAAGGCAGCGGAAATCGGGCAAAATTTGTAAAACGCGCTTTTTCTCCGCATTTCTTGCAAACCCCAATTTTGAGCTCCACAACTGCCACACGCATTAACCAGAAATATCCATGAAATTGATGGATGACCCGGCCTGCTGACAGTCATTATTTGATCTACACCAAACGATTACGATTGTTCTCTCCTCCTCCCCTTTGCAACCAAACACGTAGGGATGCGATGCGGCGTGTAGAGGGGGTGCATTTCCACCACTCTCCTTCCTGGGAGGTTGATTGATGTGGCATGCGGTTTATCTTTAAAAGTCTCTCATCCCCGGATTCTCAATCTTGCGGGGAGTCGCATTCCACGACAGATCAACAGTCCGCACGCGGATCTTTCGAATCGGGGTTGTTGGGGACTGGAAAAACCGCGCGATCTGGCTAAAACATATACTTTTGCGGAAACTGCCCAGTGTAAGATTTTCTTCTACGTTACAAGTTTGCTGTAAAACGTACCGGTTTAACACTTTTGTGGCCGTGTATCCAGTTTCTTCTGTCAGCTCTCTGAGCGCAGCTTCTTCCACCGTTTCTCCTTCATCAATCAGCCCTGAAACTCAGATATGATACGGTAGCTTGGTTTTATTGCTAGCGAAAGAGAGAGAGAGACAGAGAGAGAGACAGAGAGAGAGAGAGAGAGAGAGAGAGAATGAGCGAAAGTGAAAGAACCCTCAACCCACCTGCTGGAAACTCGAGACACCACCCTCCCATCGGGATACGGTACTGCTTGACGAGGACAAAATACTTTTTATTGTCCTTGTAAAGCACGGCAATAATATCCACTCCATCAACTTCGCAATTTGCCGGCTTCGTGGTACGGTGGGCAGATTGCCAGATCTAAAGCGTATCAAAAGTGCTATATTCCTGCAATTTACGATTTTGATCACCTAACCACTAAAAGTTTTTTGATCATTTTACCAAATTTTAATTTTAGAAAATTGCCATGCGTGGCCCACAATTGGGCCTGCAGGAAACGCTTCTTTTCCTTGTATAAGTTTTTGTCGATTCGACCTCGGTTTTTCTGTGCAATTTTCATGTTTAATTTTCAAAAGTGCGGCCCTATTTCAATGATTACTTTTTACCGACAAAAAAACCGTTGAAATCCGTTCGTTCTTTATAATACTTGAAGGGCAAGAATGGCCGGATGTAAAACTAGGGCGCAGCCTGGCCGTAGGCGAGGGGTGAGTAAGGGTTTTTCTGATGTTTTCGTGACCCTTTGGGGGTCAGCGGCAAGAGTTGAGTCTCTTCATAAAAGTGCTCATCAAGAAAATGGAAAAACAAGATTAAGGGACGTACACCTTCCTGTTTGGTGTGTCGCTCACGGAATCGGATCTGCCTGGTCTTCAGCCATCGACCTTCGAATACTGTTTGCTCATCCCAGAGGTCATAGGGGCAATCATCAGATGGTGAAGGGGTGTTTTGCATCTGGAAACGGAAGTGGTTTTTCATTCTGTTTTGATAAGTTGACCCCCCCCCCCCCTCCCCCCGATTCCATGATATGGTGAAGGAGGTAGGTAAGACCAACAAATTCTAGCGCTAAGAATATTTGAAACTATTCCAATTCATCGATATTGGCAAGCTTTTTGGCATGGATTTCCTTAATGCGTATTTTTCGGGAATGGAACATATGATTCTATTTACGCAATGAGACTGAACAATGGGAACGCAAATGCTCATAGATGTAGACGTACAAGTCCGGCGAAATTAATACGTACATGCATCGCGTTGCGTAGTTTGCATATTTCTGTTTCTCTCTCTCAGTCTCCAAGTCTTTCTCTAGCTCTCTCTCTCTCTCTCTCTCTCTCTCTCTCTCTCTAGTTCTCTTACTCTCTAGCTCTTTCATTTCTGTAGTTACAAACAACCACCAATCATCCCGCTTCCCAAAAACAGGGGATACGGTACTCACTCCCAGACAAGATGGTCGAGGATAGGGAGTGAGACCACTCGGCTACAGCGTCATCACCTCCCGTGCTCTAGAGGTTCGCCGGTCGGATCTTGGGGGAATGGCATCACCTAGGCTCCACTCACTCAATTGACAGTTCAACGACAATCTATCAGGCGCCCGGTGGGTGGGTGGGTGGAGTGGATCTTTGAAAAGCACGCGGAGGGGAGGGGACGGATGGGTTGATGAGACCACAGCGGGGACTGATACGGATTGGAGATTTAAAGAAATCATTAATGGGTGCTGCAAGCGATTTTTGGACACAGAAGCTGTCATTGAAAATCAATAAATCTAGCGAAAAAATGCGTAATGAGGTGAAACACTCATCCGCTTTGCTTAGGTAACCATTTACATGTTATAGTCGGTCTTTACCCCCATTACAAGACCCCATTTAATAAAGGTGTTATCCGGCTTGGGTTATCGTGATAACTTTAAAAATTAATGGAAATGCGTATATTAGCACGGCGCCGCTGAAACCCTCTCGGCCAAACCGTTTTCTTGACCACGTATCCTAGTCACAATTTTTTCCTTTGCCTCGATCCGCTAGCTTCCATAATGGCACGATTCTAGCGATAAGCCGTCACGCAATCCCTTGCCCGGGGATTGTCAACGAAATTTGCAGGCGTTTCACCTTTGAACGATGAAGTCTCGGCGCCGGCGAATTTTGTGGCCTTTTGATAACGGGACGGTAACGGGCGGGTGGTAACGGGCGGGACGGGCAGAAAATTGGGGCGATGCGAGCGAAGAAGCTTTCAAAGCGAACTGATCGATAGAAAAATTAAATGTGAAATCTGAAGAAAAATGATTCTTATCTACAAAAAATCAGCCTCTTTTCTCATTTTATACCCGTGGAGTACGCCCAGTCGCAGAATTACATGACGTAACCCAATGGCGATAGGTGGTTTTCAAAAAATGCAATGCAGATTTTTTTTACTTAAATTGTAACAATTGGAAGAAAACCGTTAGCAAATATGATGATGATATATTTATACAATGGCTGTATAGTAGAGTGCGGCTTATTCAAACCGGGTTTGAATAAGATTTCCGTTATTCAAATCAAACCGGTTTGATTTGAATACGGGATCCTTATTCAAACCAAACCCGGTTTGAATAAGATTCCCCAACTCAAACCAAACCAAACCGGTTTGAATAATTTGAACAAGGTTTGAATAAGGACCAGTCTCCGAAACAGTCTGTTTTCGGCATCATTTTTGCGTTTTGGCACCAATCCTTTTGTGACTTCACTTTAGGGTGGTTCAGCAGCATTCCTGCCAGGTTTTGGGGTTAGGGGTCATTTCAGACCTTTTCTTTCAGCGCTGCCAAGGTTATCCCGACTATTTGGATGCTTGTGAAAGGTTGTGAATGCCAAGCCTATCGTTGAAAAAGTGCGTAAACCCCGTAAATGATGCCAATTTCATCATTATATTGATCACACAAAGTTTTAGAAGGGATGCCTCGAAATTTTAGCCGATTAGCATCCATCCAATCGATTAACATGCTGATTTGCCTGTTGTTCAAACCAACTCAAACCTGGTCGGTTTGGTTTGAATAACGGATCCTTATTCAAACCAAACCGGTTTGATTTGAAAAGCAGATTCTTATTCAAACCGCCCTTATTCAAATCAAACCGGTTTGAGTCGCGATTTGATTTGAATAAGCCGCACTTACTGTATAGTTAGTCGTCTTGCCATCCCCGTACAGCATGACGTTGTGGCCCAAAAGCCACCGGCCCACCCTAGTTTTTTTGGCATTTTTGTTTCAGTTTTAGTTACCGGTACGTGACGCTTGCAGCGCAGACGTGGAATGAGTTCCTAAAAAGTCTAATAGGTCATTTTCTATTGTTGAGAAGCGTATTCTAAACGAAATCAACTTACATATGCCGTAGGCGGCGGGAATTGATTGCCCTTAAACATTACTAATGCGAAAATTGAGAGAATTTACCCCATGATCCTCAAAACCCATCGCAGAGCCGAGGAGGAAAGAAAAGCAAAGAAGAGACACAGCGAGATTCATGGTTATGAAACAGATCCAAGACCCGGCCATTTTATATACTTGTCTCACTGTATAAATGAATTTTTAGAAGCTGGATTTGCGATTATTTGACCTCTTAAAAATAGATTGACAGCTTGGATTTTCCATCACATGATTTTCGAACCAAAAAACATAGATCTCGGATCTTTGCTCATGTCAGTCTCGAACGCGGGAATCGCAAGAAAGAGGGCAATCACGGTGATGAAGAACAAGTTGAAGACGTGCATAGCTGAGTTTTTGACGGTAGAATGTCTTTCCGTCATGCAGAATCGGTTTCCATATAAAACCAGCAGACTTTCGATCTTCGCCCACGCATCGAAACCCTGTCGTGAAGTAATTTATGAGAAGTTTTTGAAAAATGATGTGTCAGGTTCGGGCTGTGTTTTGTTCCGAATCTATTCGGGCTGCTTTTTGCTTTCTGCCGTACGTTCTGGGCTTTTAAGCTGCCCTTTTAAAACTAAAGCGTTATTTTGACGTTAATCATAACCTAAGGCAGTACCACATTCAAATTCCCGCCCGTATGCCCCCCAACCTCCGGGAACACTCAAACTGATAAGGAGCGCGTGGGCCAGCCGTCGAAAATGGGGGTATCCTCAGTTGATAAGGCTCGAAAAACCAAAAAAATAGGTGACTAGCCTCAGGTTGATTATGTTATCCACACTGAAAATCGGTTGGACTAACGAGAAACATCACCGGCAGGGGTCGAACCCGGACCCTGTGGGTGGGAAGGGGAACCACTAGCCCACTCGGCCACAGCATACCCGGAGAGGAGAGAGCGGTGGGTATTTTGGGGGCAGTGCGCGGATAGCTGCGCAGGTTAGGGAGGGCCACTACTTCCAAAAAGTTAGGTTTAAAAAAATTATTTAAATTTGATAAACCTTATTATAGTCAGAAAATACGAGAATCCTAGTGGTTTTCACGTGCATAGTAAACCGGCTGCGCAATTTGCTCCCATTTTCGTTTAAAAATGTTTTATGTATTTTAACAAATTTAAATGGTTTATTAATTTACTTTTCTAATGTTCGCTATCCAATGCTTCAAGTTCATCGTCAGAAAACATTAGCGGGAGTATGAAATGCCTAAAATCGCGCATAATTCGAACGTAATCCAAGCGTACTCACCGGAAAGGAATAAATAACGCAATGACAACCGGAAATACCATTTCCACAAAATGCCAAGGATAAAAACCGACTGCCAATAGCGTGGCTAATTGTAGAATCTAAAATGTATTATCCAGACATTAGAAAAGTTCAAAAATACTTCAATAATGGTGAAGGCGTGGACTTTTCTTTGTGAGACCTTTCTCAAGTAACTGGTGGCCGGGTAAGAGCGCTAGAAAAGACATGGGCACTTAAAATTGCGATTTTTGAAACCTGTTCAGTAAAAAGGAGCATAATTCTCTGCCACATTTCATTGCCCGTCAACGAGCTGATGGCCATGAAGAGGAAAAGTCCTAAAATCGATCGAATTTCCCCATGCGATAGAAGTTTCTACTTACCATGAAATAATGAAGTTGGGATAAAAGCTGTAAAGTATGGAATTAGCCAGAAATATATGGGGATCATCAGAATATGCGCTAATAGAACGGCCAGACGAGTTTCTCTGACTTTGGTAATCCTAAAAATCGAATAAATCGCGATTTTCTGCAAAGCTTACACTTCGCCCATGACCCCATTGTGTACGCGATGCTCCACGTCGGCCAAGGCCTAAAAACCCCCGATTTAAAGAAGCCGAACAACTGAACTACCTTTAAATGAAGATAGGCAGATGGTAGGGCTCCATGCATCCACGGTAGTGAAAGGAGGGATAAGAATATATTCAGAAAGCTAACGACAAGCAAATCCCAATGCATGCTTGACCCTTTTTCAAGTCTTAAACCGTACGAAAAATGGTAATTATTTTAATTCACTTGTTCTGCTTGTTATCCACGGTATTTGTCACCAAAAGCTGGTCCATAAAAAAAAGTAGCGATAGAGGAAAACCGAGCCCGATTGCGAGTCCCTAAATTCGCGTTTTTATGGTCTCTCTACACCGCTTATACCTGAGCCCAAAATGGTAGATTTTCCGGTCCGGCCCAATGGATATCAGCTTTATCGTAGACGCTGAAGCTTTCCGCTACAAAAAACCTTACAAGAAAGAACGTGCCCTTACTATCGACATTGCTGAAGAAGATCTTTGCCAGGACAGCCATGATAACCACAGCTATTGGGAGGCATAATCAGAAATTAGGCCGCGGATAAAGCTACAAAACAACCAGCAATCCTACTATATAAAAAATAGTGTTTGTGTGTGTGTGTGTGTGTGTGTGTGTGTGTGTGTGTGTGTGTGTGTGTGTGTGTGTGTGTGTGTGTGTGTGTGTGTGTGTGTGTGTGTGTGTGTGTGTGTGTGTGTGTGTGTGTGTGTGTGTGTGTGTGTGTGTGTGTGTGTGTGTGTGTGTGTGTGTGTGTGTGTGTGTGTGTGTGTGTGTGTGTGTGTGTGTGTGTGTGTGTAATAATAATAATTATAATTTATAATTTTTTTATTTATAATATATTTATATATAATAATAATAATAATAATAATAATAATATTTTATATAATTAATAATAATAATAATAATAATTATTTTATTTAATAATATTTTATTATTTGTAATTGTGCGTGCGTGTGTGGTGCGTGCGTGTGTGTGTGTGTGTGTGTGTGTGGTGCGTGTGTGTGTGTGTGTGTGTGCGCGTGTGTGTGTGTGTGTGTGTGTGTGTGTGTGTGTGTGTGTGTGTGTGTGTGTGTGTGTGTGTGTGTGTGTGTGTGTGTGTGTGTGTGTGTGTGTGTGTGTGTGGTGTGTGTGTGTGTGTGTGGGTGTGTGTGTGTGTGGTGTGTGTGTGTGTGCGTGTGTTGTGTGTGTGTGTGTGTGTGTGTGTGTGTGTGTGTGTGTGTGTGTGTGTGTGTGTGTGTGTGTGTGTGGTGTGTGTGTGTGTGTGTGTGTGTGTGTGTGTGTGTGTGTGTGTGTGTGTGTGTGTGTGTGTGTGTGTGTGCGTGTGTGTGTGTGTGTGTGTGTGTGTGTGTGTGTGTGTGTGTGTGTGTGTGTGTGTGTGTGTGTGTGTGTGTGTGTGTGTGTGTGTGTGTGTGTGTGTGTGTGTGTGTGTGTGTGTGTGTGTGTGTGTGTGTGTGTGTGTGTGTGTGTGTGTGTGATACTTTGTATGCAACTTCCGTCACCATGTCCGAGGATATCTCGATAGGGAATCAATTTTAAGGCATATATGATACGTCATTAGATGCGTAATGGCTCTGGGATGACTGCACGCTTATCAGATTTTACAAAATTAATTGTTTTAAACATTAAATTTCAGTTTGTGTAAAAATTTCGGACACCCTCTTTGTTAGGAAACAATTAACATGCACCGGAAGTGGCGGTAGCCTATTTAATCAGGTGGAGAGTGTCATTTTTCATTTTTTCTCATCGGGATCCGGGAAGATATGCAGAAGAGAATAATATTGGGATCTAGACAGGGCCAGAGTTGAAAAGTCGCGAAGCGGCTTTTCAACCCTGGTTAGCATTAAATTATTATCATAGCTACGTTGTTAAAAAGTGTCCTTTTCTTGCTGCATCAAAAGTAAGAGCTAGCCAAAGAGTTCCGAATACCAATAAGGCGAAAAGAAGGGCACTTCCGGGAGCACAACCATCTAAAAATTATTCCTTTTTTTCAGATTTAGACCTACCTTTCATAAAAACACTTGTAGAATTCATATCAGCAACGCAATTAGTGTAACTAACAGAGTAAGCTAAATTTTTCCATTTATTTAGGTTTATTAGAAGTTATTTACTTTTCAAGATGGCGGCCAAAGCTTTATAACAGAGAGCCGAGGCTATGAAGAGCCCAAAAATCTCTTCGGTCGACCGTTTCGTGAATTTCATCAGATTTGCCAGGTTAAAAATGGCGAATAGGGCCAAAAATATCTGCGCCCACACCCCCACCCATGCATATAGGGCATAGAAATCGAGGTTGTTCTGCTCGGAGATGTGGTAGATCACTGAATTCGTTGTAGGAAGTATTGGAAGTGGTCGATACCTTGGATATAAATGCTTAATGGTGCGGTCGTAGAGTGGATCAACATTTCTTGCCCTCCGACAAGACCAAAGAATATCCCGCCAATCCATTGGCCCAGGATCACTTTCTGGACGTCTAAAAACTTTTGGTATGCACCTCAAAGAAAAATGTACTAATTTTTCCTTTCGTATTTTCATCATTCAGCATTCCATAAGCAATTGAAGTTGGGAGGATGGTAAAAATTAAGAAAACGGCGGTGCTGATTACTTTCAAAATACTGCGACTATCGGCGAACCCTGGAAAAATTATGAATTAGCAGTGATGACCACTTACCATCGGTAAAATCCGATGCATAATGCTTGGCTCTACGTCTTGTATCAGCAATAATGCCGGAAAATGGTTTCCATGAATTATCCTCGAAAAATTTGCTGTTGGTAAAAATAGCCTTTACGTACGTTCTCGTCTCTTTTCATTACACTCTTCATGGACTTGGATCACTATATTTTCTTTCAACAGCTTAGCCGAGGTATCAAAAATTGCCTAAGAACGAGTGGAGATGGCATTAGGCGAGTTAGACTTACCTTTATTGCTAATTCATCCGCAGCATCCAATAGTTGGTCCAGAATCCCATCGCAAGCCAGTAGCGTTGCGTAGGTCCTAGCCACCTCGGCGGCAGATTTCGTACCTTTCTAAAAATAAATTGATGATAACCGATAATATGATCGATTTTTGATACCTCATGCGTTGGGGCGATGATCACAACCAGAATTTGGCACTCCTCCAGAAAGTTGCCGAGTGGAACCGGGGTTTTGAGTCTGGTGATTGCCATGCGGGTCCGGCGTAATGACGGTAAATCACAACTAAATCAGTGGTAAATGGGTGATTAAAGAATTCTCACAAAAGAACAGCCCATCGCTCATCCGTTCCATTCGGTCCGACTGCTTGAATTCTATTCCGGATCGTTCTACCTGGGAAAACGGGTCAAAAACGCAGTAAGAGCCCAGACCGTATAGTTTGTTTGGTTCTGCGGTTACATCGGCAAAGATCCGAGCCATAAATTCGCCCTTCTCAATCCCAACTTGTGGCTTTTGCGCGAATATCGAGTCGAACAGACTGAATTCGCCGGTATACCGAAAGCATTTCAGCCACTAACGTGCTTATAATTTCTTCTACATCCCTGCATTCTAAATCGAGCTCGATCGCGGCGTCCTCTTCGAAATAACGCAGGTCTTTTAGGGCACGGACCTGGAACCTCGTAGGTACCACTTACTTAAAGTACCTCTTGCGAAAACGATTTCGGATCGTCATGCATTTCTGCGTACGTTACGAGTTTGGGTTGCATTGGCTGATAGGTAGACCAAAATTGGAATGCTATGATTTCTGGAACAAGTGCTGAAACAGGCAAGAAACAAAATTGCCCCCATTCACTGAACCCACGCGACAGAGATTTGCATAATGATGAGACCGGTGTCGGGGCGTTTGGATTGGGAATTTGATGGTTGGTTGTAAAACCATAAAAATTGTTGCTTAAAAATGGCAGACGAGAACGAGGCTATAACTTTATCACAAGATTGTATCTTGGTCTTCCATCGATCCCTTCCATAGACCGTCATTCATCGTGTTTTTACGGGGGTGGGTCGCTGAATGGAAAGCTGAAATATCGAAGATATCTATGAAATCTTTTATCAAATAACTTATATCGATCACGACGATTTTGTTTTGGATAGTAGGGACGATGATATGGTAACCCCCATCAGACCTCTGTCAAAAATTCAGACAGCCTCCTCAGCCTCCATTTCCGGTTTGTTCTTTTGGTCCCAATTCCAATTTTTCGCACGCCAAAACATAATTGTCTGTTATCTTCTCCCTTCAAAGGAAAAGCGTATAATGGGCCGATAAATCGTGAGCCGAATCATCAGACATTAATCTACTCCATCACTCCATGACATTCTGGGCGCAGTTTTGTTAGAAAAATATCGGCATCTGGTATTGCATGTCGCTGCTATTGATTACTATTACCATCCCATTGATTTTCAAGCCGATTCACGATGAATATTTCAAGATTTAGTTGATAGAGCGGGCGAAAAAGTAGGGGAGACGATCATTATGAGATAAGCATTAAGGCCCGCAAAAAAACGCCAAACACAAACAAACAGACCGGACAATGCGGCTGGGACCAGACGGAACCCTTCTCATACATTTTTATATATTAAAAATACAGCTATTACGGCTTAAGTTTACCTGGGACAGGTGGAATTCTCGTGGTCTTCCCTGGAACATCGCGTTCAATATATTTGGCTGCTCTTTTTCTACAGAATGCGTGACAGCAGGTGATTCGAAACCTGAAGTCTACCAAATTCAATCGAAACCCTTTGCACAACTCCTGAATGGCCCCGAACCTCGATGTCGCCACTGCCTGGTCGATTGGTATCTATTGGTATAAGCAATTTGCGCTGATACTCGTTCCATTTGTATACTTCTTAACTGCCTATATTATTTGGACGCAATCAACGCGAGCCATGCGACCGATATTGCCGTGTTTGTATATTATGCACGTAAGGAAATCTCCTTTTTCAAACGTCTATGCTTGCTAAAATGCTAGATAGCTGTAAATCTTCGAACTATGAAGGGATCCAAGCTTTCAGACCTTCCTGTTTCTGTTCGATTTTTCGATTCTCTTGCTCAACACGGTCCCAAACTTCCCCGTCCTAGCCATCAATTTTCGAGCGACGGCAGCAATTCCATTTCTCAAAGATTTTTATTACGTAAGTACCAAACAAATCTACTTTGTGAAATGCTATTTTTCAGCCCATGCATTGCTTCTTTCTTTTTACGGGTTTCCTTGGTATGGGTGCCGTTCTGCGAAGGCGTATGATGGCCGTAACGCGCTTTATGAAATCCTTATCACCAAACGTGATTTTGGCGTGGGAGGTGGGCTTATTTTTTTTATAAAACAACATATCAGATTTTTCTCTTCACTCTTTTCGATTTCTCGCTCTTTTTCACGGCATATTTCGGTCAGGCCGATGGGGAGGCGGCAGTCGAATACTTTGCGAAAAAGGTGAATTTCGGTGTTACTGAAACAGACTAGTTCTAACAAGTAGGATTTAAACACATAATTTAAAGTTTCCGACACGTGCATATTTGGTCACCGACCCGACCGTCACGAACTATTATTGTCCTGCTTTGAATCAAATTTTCTCCATTTACGTAAGTTCTTTCTAACACACGCTCTCTCTCTCTCTCTCTCTCTCTCTCTCTCTCCTCTCTCTTTCAGGTTCCGCTTTAGCCAAATCCTTTAGATTGCTCTGCTTTTAATGTTTTCCGCGATTCTCTCTGCACTGCTCGGCCTGGCCGTTTTCTTGTTTATTCATGATTTGGAGAAACAAGGCGCGTTAACTTCGAAAAGCCGATCGAAGCAACAGATCAATGCCTATTTGTGCGTTATTTTGCAGGTGAATTCTGCCAGGGAGCTTATTGACTATTGCCTTGCAGTTCATCGTCCCTACAGCGGCGGTTTGCGTCTGTATATTTGTCGGTATTTTCGCCGTTTTCGAGGTCGAGATCCCGTACGAATGTGAGTTTCATTGCATTTTCGGCTCCTGATTACGGTGGTCATCCAAAATTTCTTCCCAGTCCTCGACCCACTCGTCCCGATCGGGTTCTCCTCAAGCACCTATTGGCTATCCGGGACCGGCATCTATTTTAATAGCCGCTACAAGCGGTTCTTTATCCGAATGATGGTCCCAAAATCGTTCTGGCCTAAAAATATAGGTATTTCGGCGGTTTTTCACTACATTACAGTTTATAGAAAACGGGGCAACATCTGTGCGGATCGTGTCCATGGCGACTAGAACGGTTTCACAAGCATGACCATAAAATTTAAATAAATAATGGATAGCATCTTGAATATATAGAGTTGAGACAGAACAATTACTGACGGTAAGACGTTCGAACAAACTTTTAAACTTTGCTCTCGGCCGTGATATTGAAAGTGGGAAACGAGGAGCGAGGAAGGGAAATTGTTCGCGCGAAAT